CCCTCCTTCCCCCTTCCTCCTTTTTTGTATCCTCTAGCCTATGAGTTCTTTCATTGACTCTCCCTTGATGACTCATTTCCTCCGTTGACAGTTTTGGTTGTAGAGTCCACATTTTCTTCAGTGGAGGTAAAATTTAGTAGTATTGAAGTTACAGAGCCAGTTCTCCCCTCCCTGAGCTTCATGGAACATGTGTCTTTGGCTCTGAAAGTCAGGGGCTTGCTCCTAGGATCCTGATCCTTAAGAAAATCAAGTGACCTGGTTAGTTTTTATTATCAGCTTGACACAACCTACAGTTACCTGGAAAGAGGGAACTTCAACTGAAGAATTGCCCCATTCAACTTGGTCTGAGCCAAATCTTTGAGAGACAGTCTTGATTGATGATTGCTATGGGAGGGTCCAGCCCACTGTGGGCAGCACCATCCCTAGGCAGGAGGGCCTAGTCTTGATAAGAAAGGTAGATAAACATGAGCCAGTGAGTTTCTCAGTGGTTTCTGCCCCAATTTCTTTAATGATGGACTATGACATAAAAGCATCAGCTTTGGTCATGATAGTCATCATAACAACAGAAAAAGAAACCAGCATAAAGAGCAATGTAAAGACATTTGGAGGGCTTGTTCACTGTGATAGCAGCAGCAGAGGAACCAGATAGTTTTTACTCTTGATAATGACTGCTGCTACCATATGCACTACTAACACAGCTGCCACCAGACATTTCCTCCACGACTAAAAGTGTCATTGTCATCAAACCATCTCCACAAACCACCACTGAAGTTTCCAGAGCCACTTTGATTTCTTTGTATAGATGGAGGTGGTTCTACAGACTACGTATTAGTACCAAATATTTTAATATTTCTATGGCTGGGGAGAACCATATCTTTGTGGTTAGATGAGAATTGGAATCGCCAGGAAATATACCTAGGAGAACCTGGGTCTCCATTTTTAATATACCATTCCCAGTTAAAAGAATCATAGAAAGCTGCTAATACCCACCAGGGTAACCATGAGAAATCTATTAAAAGCAAGATAGAGTCGGGATATATCTCAGTTGGTAGAGTATAGCATTCATGAAGTCCTGGGTTTTATCCCCAGCACAACATAATAACAGGAGTGGTGGCACATGTACACACTTGGGATGTGAAAGAAGGAAGATCAGAAATTTTTCTTTCAGATTTTTTTTTTTTTTTTTTTTTTGGTTTTTCGAGACAGAGTTCTCTGTATAGCCTTGGCTGTAACTATAGCCTGGAACTCACTCTGTAGACCAGGCTGGCCTCGAACTCAGAAATCCACCTGCCTCTGCCTCCCAAGTGCTGGGATTAAAGGCATGCACCACCACTGCCCAGCAGGAAGATCAGAAATTTAAGGTCATTTTTGTCTTGAGTTTAGGGTCAACCTGGATCACATGAAATCTATCTTCAAAAAATCGTATGGTGGTACATGCCTGTAGTTTGAGTGACTGAAGTAGAAGAATCATGAGTTCAAGGCCATCCTGAGCTTCATTGTGTGATTCTTTCTAAAAAAAAAAAAAAAGGCAAAGCTTAAGATGTATGAACTTGATGCTCAGTAGAAATAGCAAGGCTGAGGTTATAGCTCACACTGTGCTTAGTATGTGTTGGAACATTAGCTCAATCCTTCATGAGCCTGATGGAGTTCTGAATGAAAAGGCAGACTGTGAGCCCACACTGATAACTGATACACACACACATATGTATATATGTATGTATTATGTATGTATATATGATATATAGTTCTTTATTATAGTTTTATATCTTTCCCATATGTTTAAAATTATTTCAAAATAAAATATTACAAACTTCTATTCTTACCCTGTTTCTTCTGACTCTGTTGCTTATAAATTCAATGATACAATGCATTTTATATATTTCATTATGTCTCTTCTTGTTGCCCCACCCAACTACTACTTTTCAAAAATTCTTATTAAAACAGAAGCCAGCTCCAAGGCAAAAAATAAGA